ATGAATGAATGAATGAATGAAAATATAAATAGAACAGTTTCATTACTATAAAATTGTTGAACCAAATCATATATTATAAAATAGATTTATTTAATAATGACACTCACAAGGTCCCAGCAGTAAAGAAGCCACAATAAAGAAGTCCAACACATTCCATCCCATTTTCCAGAACATGAAAAATCCATGGTACCACTTGAGTAGGATCTCACACACGAATATTGTCATCAGACACTGATCAAGCACAGAAAACAAATGATTGTACTCCTTTTCCTGCCAAATAAAAAGTCAAGTCATAAGGTACTGTTTGTTTTATTTCAGGGGGAGGTGGTATGGGGTTTGATTGGTGACCTATTCCTATTCCTTGTTGCATAGAAAAAAATTGCCCTTTCTTGCTTTCATTTTCTCTATTGTAAATGTGGTGTGTGAATTGAATTTGACGTGGGGAGTACCCTCTCGTGGAAGATATCTTTGAACTCCCTCCCACAAATCCCAATGGCGCCCCCCCCCCCCTTCCATAGTTTAAAAAAAAACATGTCCTTTTTTCACGAGGGTAGCACTTAATAGCCACAGTGGCTAACAAACCTGTGGCACTCATTCCATGATCGAATTGGAATTTAGGAGTTGAGGAGTTTAGGAGTTGATTTTTGCGGAGGGAGGAAAACCGGAGAACCCAGAAAACCCTTAAAGTACAGGAGAGAACCAACAAACAACTCTACTCATATACAACACCGAACCCGGTGGACTCAAACTTGGGTCGCATTGATGAGAGGCGAGCGCTCACACCGCTACGCCACCCGTGCTTCCCTAACATGCATGGTCCCTAACAGACTGAGATTTATGATAGCCAAGTGACCCCAAGGTGAATATATACTCACCAATTCTTCATTTGTTTCCACAACAATCAGCAGACTGTTAAACAAAATGATCCCCAGAATTCCTGTCCTGAACATTTTGTTAGACAGGAATTGACCCACTAGTTCATTGGACGCATATTCTTCAATAGCTTCTTCATCCATGTCTACTATGTCCCACATGTTTTCTTCATCATTTTCATTCTGCAGCAGAGGGTCTTCTTCCTGTATAATTTGAAAAATTATTATTATTATTATTATTAATATTAGTAGCAGTAGCAGTAGCAGTAGCAGTAGCAGTAACAGTAGCAGTAGTAGTAGCAGTAGCAGTAACAGTAGCAGTAGTAGTAGCAGTAGCAGTAGCAGTAACCAGTAGCAGTAGCAGTAGTAGCAGTAGCAGTAGCAGTAACAGTAGCAGTAGCAGTAGCAGTAGCAGTAGCAGTAACAGTAGCAGTAGCAGTAGCAGTAGCAGTAGCAGTAACAGTAGCAGTAGTAGTAGCAGTAGCAGTAGCAGTAACAGTAGCAGTAGTAGTAGCAGTAGCAGTAACCAGTAGCAGTAGCAGTAGCAGTAGCAGTAGCAGTAGTAGCAGTAGCAGTAACAGTAACAGTAGCAGTAGCAGTAGCAGTAGCAGTGACCAGTAGCAGTAGCATTAACCAGTAGCAGTAGCAGTAGCAGTAGCAGTAACAGTAGCAGTAGCAGTGGCAGTAGCAGTAGCAGTAGCAATAGCCAGTAGCAATACATGTAGAAGCAGCAGTAGCAGTAGCAGTAGCAAGTAGCAGTAATATAATAGAGTGCATACCATATCCGTGAAAACCTTTGTAAAAAGTTGCACAGCTTAGTAGCACAACTTAGACACAAGACCTACAAAACTTTGCACTGATATGTACAATTTCGTCAGTTAACTTTTTCATTAATGTAGATATGATTATGGTATGCAGTCTATTAGTAGCAGTATGACTATTATTATTTCTTTTAATGTTCAAGATATTATAACACATGGCAAGAAGAATAAGTACATCAGGGGTAGCATACTTGCTTCTCCAACACCTGGGGTCTGATTGATCATGCATCTTTACAGTGAGGACACTTGAACCATTAACCCTTCAAGTTTTTTGTCACTTTTTTAGATATTTAAAATTGTTCAAGTGTCTTCACTGTAATATCTTTTTTACCCAACAGTACCTGATTTTGTTTAGCATGAAACACTGCATGAAATTCTTTCTCTCTGGATGGAAAGAAAGAAAGCATCATTATCATCATCATCATCATCATCAT